CTGTCCTTTGTGCCACATAGCAAAAGATACCGCCATGAGGGTTTCACATGTCAAAGATGGCAAAGCCGATGATTTTGTTGATCCCCCAAAGCAGCCGCTAGAGCAGCTCGCTACAGATGATGTTATCTTAGCTAAAGGGTCCGAACACTTGGGTGTAGGTATAGGGGGAATAAGGTCGCATCATGTCATCCGCGATGCGTACTCTGGTGCGCGTGTTGCATACCCATTGTCTAAACGTACTGCTGACGCGCATGCTCGCAACTTTAGGCATTTCTTAGGATTGCGTGGATCAGAGCTCACCACCCGAACGTTCATCAAAATGGACGAAGCAGGCGAGCTTGAGCAGGCGGCACATGCCGTAGGCATGGTTCCGGAAACCTCGTTACCGAACAGATGGCCCCACAATGCCATCCTCGAGAGAGATGTTCGAGAGGAGAAAGAATGTTGCCGCACTGTTCACCTCCAATCTGGCCTTCCCTATGAGTATCACACATATAGCTATCCATATGCCTGCCTTTCAATGTCATTCGACAAGCCTTCAATAGCCGACCCCGACAAAACCCAATGGGAGTCGCTTACTAGGAATAAGTTTGATGGCATGAGGTTATGCTTTGGTCAGTTAGTGTATTACCGTAGGAAGTCACCCACCAAAAGGACTTTGGAGCCCAACATGTCACCTGGTCTATTTTTGGGTTGGAGGATTGATCCCGGTTTCCGATATAGAAATATCTTAAGGGTGTTAGATTACCAAGAGTATCGCACTAGAGGTGGGAATTCAGCCGTTGATGTTCCAGAAGCAGAAATCTTTGTCCCTGAAGGTGATCCTGTTTTTCCAGTAGGTTTTTCACGCCACCAAGCTCTCATCAGGGGGGACAACCCAGATGATCTTAAGTTGCCTGAATATGCCTTAAAGGATGTGCCCTTCCCCAAGGAGGGCGGAATAGCCTCACCCTCTACACCAGGTCTCAAAAGTCGTTCTGTTTATATAACCGTAGACCGTATCCTTAAGTGGAAAGAGACCCCTGGTTGCAAAGGCTGCGCTGGCCATTCGCGCGTGCACACTGATGAGTGCAGAGCCCGCTTCGCAATGTTGGTTGAAAAAGAAAAAGAAGCCGAAAAAGAAAAGAAAGCTCCACCACCCACAAGTGAGACAGAAGCAGAAGACAAGGATGATGAAGCACATGGCATCATCTTCCATGGTGAGGATCTGCCTGATCCCGATCCGATACCATCTCACCTCTCCGTAGAGGACAGAGCATTGGTTGAGGAAATCTTCATAAGAGGTGAGGTACCAGGGTCATCCGAACCCAGTGCTCCAGCCGAGCCTGCTGTTTCCGTTTCTGGTGTAGCTATTCTTCCCCAAGTTGCCAATCGATGTTCCGACCTATGCCAAAAGTCGCTGCCTGTTTTTGGTTGCCCCGCTGTAGGTAAGCCAACTAACCGCGATAATCGTAGGAGCCGGAAAGCTGCCAAGAAAGCTTCCAGACCCAATGCCAAGTCAACCATGTTTGAATTTGCTTGTTCTGAGGACTCCCAGATGGGTTTTACTCACCAAGGATATGGCATTAATCATGTTAGACTTTGTAAGGATAGGATAGACCTGGGAGATGAGTCACAATGTGAGCAACTAGACTATCAGATAGATGAAGCCGCTAAAGTTGCACCTCCACACATGTGGGCCTCTATCCCTTGCACATCCGGATCCCCTTGGCAGTACATCAATAGGAAGAGGGGTGGTGCCGCATTCATTAGGAAGCTTGCCCACCAGGTCAAAGAGTCCAAACGGTTGTTTAAGAGTTTTTCCAAACGCGCTGAAAGGGTTCTCAATCATGGTGGTACTGTAACGTTTGAATGGCCAAGACCTTGCTCTGGCTGGAAAAGGCCTGACGTTGTAGCATTCTTTGAGAAGCATCCCCAGTTTATGACCGTTGATTTTGAAGGGTGTACCGTAGGTTTAACCGACAGAAATGGTTATCCCATCAAAAAGCCATGGAAACTCAAGACCACTTCTCCCCGAATTGTAGAGGCGTTTCAAGATATGCGGTGCCGATGCCAGCAACCTCATTCCAGATGTGAGGGAGCTGAGACCACTCGCTCCGCAATGTATCCGCCCCAAATGACTAATCTAATTGCGCAAGCTTTGTATCCCGCAAAATGTGCCCAGCAGTCCGTTCCTGCTATGCCTTGCCGACCGGCAACTAGCGAGCCTCAACCCCATAGGGAAATTGAGCAGCACCTTAAGCATGTATCCCCATTAGCTGGTTTTGAAGATTTAGCCCTAGCTGTTGAATCAGACCCCACCGCTAATAGGTTGGTTACAGAACTTCTTGACCACGAACAATTGATCGCCCAAGCCTTCCACCTGGAAGACCCAAAGGCGCCAACGCCTGAGATCAAGGCAATGGTCACTAAGCTCTTATCCCGTGCAGAGATGCTGTCCAATCCCAAGGCCCTCGAGGCAATCCGTGCCGAAGCCGATGGTTTGGTTAAGGCTGGTACTTGGGATCTTAGCTCGGTCCGCGAGAAGGAAGATGTACGCAAAGAAGCTAAGGCTTCGGGTGTATCAGTACACTTTGGTCAGCTCATGACCATCGCGTCCATTAAATTCTACGAGCTTGCAGACCACCTTCACAAAATGAAGGGGCGCATTGTGTACAGAGGAGACTGCGCAAAGGACGAACATGGTGCAGCCGCGGTTTACCAAGAACTCGGCGCAAATCCCACCTCCGTCCAAGGGCTAAACGCCTGCCTGGCGTATGGGTCGCTGCCGGGTAACCGCGCGACGGCTGCAGATGCAGTCAAAGCTTACGTCCAAGCACTGTTATCTTCCAAATACAAAACCTGGATTGAGCTTCCCCCGGAGCTCCGCCCTAAGTATTGGAAACAACAGTTTGTTAAGCCCGTAGTCCTCTTAATTAAAGCCTTATACGGTCATCCTGATGCCGGAGGTCTGTGGGAACAACATCTAAAAGTCATCATCAAGAACCTTGGTGGACAGGAAGTTCAAGAATACCCAGGAAACTTTTTCTTCCCAGATACAAAGTTACTTCTGTCAACTTATGTAGACGATTTAACTCTTGCTGGCCCCGCCGACCAGCATGATGCATTCTGGAGTAAGTTAACTTCCGTGGTAGACATTGAACCCCCAGAGCCCATCTATAGGATTCTTGGACGCAACCATGTTGTTACCCCACTATCCAAGACCGAAGGTCATGAAAAGTGTGCAGCCTTCCAAGCCCAAGATGGCATGGTTTTTGACATGGCAGACTACGCTCAGCAGACCGTAGATTTGTATAAGTCAATAACTGGTGTCACCAAACTCAAGCATGCCGCCACGCCATTTCCACCTGAGGGATCCATCACAATTGAAGATGATGAAACTAAAGGGGAACTAGCTCCAAACGCATGTAAGATTTTGATGAAAGCCCTTTGGTTAGGTAGACTTGCACGTCCCGACATCATCAAGCCTATCAATGATCTGGCCACAAAGGTCCAGTCGTGGTCCAGGGGGGATGACAAGAAGGTCCTAAGATTAATCCAGTATATAGCCTCAACCCCACACTACAGGTTAGTAGGTACTATTCAGGACAAGCCTGAAGACCTAGAGCTCAGACTGTTTGTCGATGCCGACTTCGCCGGCGACAGATCCACTGCACGCTCAACCTCTGGTGGCTTTTTGGTTTTAACTGGCCCTAGTTCCTTCTTCCCACTTGCATGGATTAGCAAGCGCCAAACATCCACTTCTAGATCGACCACGGAAAGCGAGGTTGTTAGTTTAGCGCATTCGCTTTATCAAGAAGGCTTGCCTGCCTTACAGTTATGGGAGCTGTTGCTCGCACGCTCCGTAACCCTTAAGGTCCACGAAGATAATCAAGCAACAATCCTAGTTGTGAAGAAAGGATATAGTCCCAAGCTTCGCCATATAACTAGAACACACAAAGTTAATTTGTCTTGCCTGTCTGAAGTCTTCAGAGATGACTCTGCCGAGATAGAGTACACCCACACCGATGACCAGGCGGCAGACATATTCACTAAGGCATTGCCTCCACACAAGTGGGCAGCAGCACTAATCCTTCTAGGAATACGTACTGACCTTCCCTTAGACCTTAAATCCAAAGCCTAGGTCGCTGTGAACGTCCGTTCACGCGACAGTAGCCGCTTAGGATGCTGCCAATGCGCAGTGCGTGTGGAACAGGCGAGGGGGGAGTTGAAATATACCGACCCCTGAGCCCCACTATGTATAGCATAGGTAGTAGGTCTTAAGTAGGCATGCCGTAGCTATGAGTACCAACGTAGTTCCAAGTAGATACACCTCAATGTGTACAGTTTGCACCTCATACTTAGATGCGTTAAGTATGTAGTATATAGCCTTAGGTAGAAACAGATGTAACTACCATCCCTAACAACTACCTGGGTTGGGTTTAATGTTACATGCTGTTGACCCGATGGCTCAAGTGCCTTAATAGCAAAAAGGTGCTTGGTTGAATGCACAGGGTTTGGCGGATTAGTTTCCCCTTCTTTTGGGTTTCTGTTCCGACCCCCTGTTTGTCTATAATATATATAATATATATATAATATATATATAATATATATAATATACAATATATATAATATATAATATATATAATGTATATAATATAATATATATATAAATATCCAAATAACCTCTCTTCATAATATCCTTAGCCCTCATTTCTCTTCAAGGTACCTAGTTTTGACCTGTTCCTCGGGTCAAAATCGGTTGCACTCTCTATGGTGCCTTTGCATGCCCGAAGTTCTTGGTTGAACCCCTTTTTTTAGGGGTGATATCGGCAATTCTTGTTGATCAAATCCTGTCAGCAGAAACCTTGAATGGATAGTTTAATCAGCCATAAAATAGGGATATATTTACAATATATATATATATGTATACATATACAGTATATATATATTATATACACATACGTACACATGCACGTATGTGCTAACCAGCAGTTTGTCATTGGCCAAGTTTTGGGCAGGCAACGGACCCATATCTTTGCGGACCGCTCTTTTTGGCGGAGAGCCAGACAGATTGCATGCTGCTTGGCCTGCCGGGATTTGTGCGCAAGAAATGCTGGTGGTTTTCGGTATCATGGGTATTTCGCCTGGAATTTTTACTAAAGTGGCCGTGGAAAATGGCTACATGTGTGTATAATAGGTAAATTATGTAAATCATCTACAAATGGGTCATGTTCCATGGTTTTCATCATGATTTCTGGGCATTTTTTGGAATGACGGAGCCCTGGTCGAAGCCCATGATGGTTAGGCGATCATCCCCGGCTTCGGTTTTCCATGGTTTTCCAGCCATGTTTGGACGCTCCAGACTACCATTTGGTGAATGCAAAGTCCCTGCTTTGATGAAAACTTCTGATTTTCCATTACCCTGTCCACCCAGAGCCATAGAGTACATGTTCTTTTGAGATCTTTTGGGAACTCGGACAATGTCTGAAGTTGGATGTTTCTGCTCGTCAAATTACAAACTGAATTGCTTGGTGTCCTGGTTGGTGTCCCAAGGTGCCAGGTAAGCGGTGGGACATGGTGGGACCGACTCCCTTTTCGGATCACCGCTGAAAGTGTCGATGGTTCGTCGAACCAAGGCTTTGAGTATGTCTCCGAGCAGATGCGAAGTAGCATCAACATCTATTGGAAGGAGCGCTTTTTCTTTGTAAGAAAAACATAGAAAAACTTCAGCTTTGCTTCAGGTATATGATACGGTGGGTGGAAATAATGGAATAAACCACCTATCAACTAGTGCAGGATTTCTTCCATCCACCGTATGTCATGATATGTAATGATATGGTAATTTGGCATCATTTTGGACTTCCAGCTGATGGTCTTGTTTGATGTTTCATGCATCTTTAAGGGTGTCTTTTTGCATCACTTGAATCTCGAAATCTCATGTGATTGGCACATGTTGGGAGGCTGGCAACTCGTCCCATGAGTATTGAACGAAATCCATTTGTTTCTAGACTGACTCAATGTTTTGAGTACAGTAGATACAACATCATTTGAAAACATAATGCTCAAGCAACTTCTCTACTCAATGTGAATGTTAATAGATAGACTTTCGCTTCTTAGCCATTTGGCAATGACAAATTATTGACCCTCCACGTTGGATGAGGGCTCCCTTCAGAGCTTGCTAGTGGTGGCTTCATACTGTAACCGCATTTTTGAACCAGCTACAGATCACCATTATTTGTCTCAATGTCAACCCTGGATTGATGAAGCAAATGCGGTTGTTTATTTTCGCTGAAAAGGAATCGATTGCACCACTAAAAATGGATCCTTTAGGGGTTGTGACTGTCCGCTGAAAAGGATTCGATTGCACATATTTTTCGGATGGTTTGAAAGCGCTGATCAGAAACTGTACTTATATACCAGGAACTCTGACAAAGATACACATGCAATATGACATTTTTCGATGTACAGTACATTGTATGTATTGTCATCAGACTTTATATGTATTATATGTAGTCATATTCATATAGCCAGGTTTTACCTAATATTTTCAATGGCCATTTCAGGAACCTAAATTAGAGGTACCTAACATATGTAAGGCCTATATAAGGCCTATGTAAGGGAATATCCCTACAAAATATGGCCTTATATGGTACAGTACCTCCATTTTAGGATCCTGGAATTCCCATTGATATGTGTTCTGTTTCAGGCAATCCCCTAAGCCACAGCCACCACCGGGATCATTACGTTTGTTGGGGCCGCAGATCTTCCCTTAGATGAACAGTGCCAGTGCCCAACATCATAGTACTTACTGTAGCAGGATCATTTCTGGTGCAATATTAATTTTGCATGATAGTCACACTAATTTTAGTTTTTGTTCTAAATATGCTGAGACTATCACCATTTGTACCATTATTGTGATTGCTATTGTAATTACTAGTGTTTCATTGTTATTACTGTTATCACTGCTATCATTATCATTTGTATAATTGCTGTTCTTACTGTATTCTTCTTATGGGTCTTCTTCAATTCTTCTTTTTCTTCTTCTTTCTTCTTACTACTGTTCTGATCATTATATATTGCTATTGATGTCATTATCACCTAGAGGTTTTTTGTTTATGCTTATTGACATCATTGCTATTGCCATTGTCGTTATTGAGTGCATATCAATACTGTTGTCATTATCATTGAATAAATAGCAATAAACCCATCATCATGATTATTGATGATAAACCCATGACTACTGTCATTAGTATTGTCATTACTATTGTCATTACTAGAGTCATTACTATTGTCATTACTAGAGTCATTACTATTGTCATTAATTACTAGAGTCATTGCTATTGTCATTACTATTGTCATTACTATGGTCATTGCTAGAGTCATTACTATTGTCATTACTATTGTCATTACTATTGTCATTACTATTGTCATTGCTATTCTTATTGCTATCATTGACAAGTGACTGATAAGTCATTGATACTATTATTATTAATCATAGTCATTGATACTTATAATCATAGTCTTATTACTATTCGTTATTGATAAGTCATGGATCATTTCGCGAAAAAACCCATCATCTCCCGATCCAAAAACGCCGCTAGGAAAGCCTCAAGGATGCGGTGGACGGACGCCAGCGAGCGCAGATCCAAGCCAGGGACAGAGCGCAACGCAACGCAACGTGTCCGGGGCGTCCATAAATGGTGGTACCCCCAAATTCATATGTGGATACTATAAATAAACATACAAACATACAACAAGATGGGGGTTTCCTGAAATACCCCCAACATGGTTTATAATGGAAATACCATTAAAATATGGATGATGAAGTGGGGTAGCCCTATTTCAGGAACCCCCCAAATGGATATCTATAATGACCGTATATGGAGGTTTCCAGGTTTGATAAAGTGGAGGTAGCGCCAAATCATCCAGTCGTCATGGATGACCATGACGACTAGTTTAACGGTTAACCCATGGTGACGACCGGGGATCCCCATGTAGGAAAGCAACAAAGAACCAACCAGAAACGGCGTCTGAAAATGGGCTGCCAGATCCAATGATTTAGAAAAGTACTGGTCATTTTGGTGTATACCCTCTGGTAATTTAACATAGCTATGGAAAATCACCGTTTTTAATGGGTAAATCCACTATAAATCACCATTTTCAATAGCTATGTTAGTTTACCAGAGGGTACTTCATTTTCAGACATCCTTTTTGGTGATTTAAAGAGGATCAATGCAGCTTTCAGAAAGGTTCAACGACATGTTTTTGGGGCCATCCAAACTGGAGAGTTCACCAAGGGTTTTCATCAGCTATGGAGGTTTCAACAGGACACAATTTGGACTCAAACACCAAACATGGTGTTTTTGTTTTTCCCCGAGGAAAAACCATGGTGAGTGTCAGCAGCACAGCGATTTTGATTGTCATTGACAAGCTAGGCAACAACAACAACAACAACGATCAAACATCTGGATTTGCGAGTGATCAAACATGGTGTGACCACCCTTTTGAGTCGATGATTATCCCACGGGTAGTAAGGGAGGAAAATTTTGCGGTTGGAACATGCTGGAACTGGGCAGAAAGGGTCATCGGCAGCTGTGCAGCGCCAGGAGATTTTAAAACTGGTGCAGAAAAGCCGCGGCCTAGAGACAGCTGTGGACTTTCAAGTGGCTTTGGATGCAGTGAATGCTGGGCTGGCTGTAATTGTTGCGCTTCTCTCAGATATTTGTGCGTGTCTTACATCAAACTTATTGGCACAAGAGTCACCAATTTGATTGCTTAATTGGCTTAATTATTTTCAGTAGTTATGTTCAGAAGTCACAACCCCTTGGCCCCTTGTTTGTGTCTTACTTGTGACGTGGTGTATCTTGGTCATCTTTTCTTTCAACAGAGGAGTCGGTCTCCCATCCGGGCCATCCGGGGATGTCCGACAGGGAGATGCCTCAGCGCAGCTTAGCATTTTTGGCTGGATAACCGCTGGAAATATCTTTTTATGTATATATTGTACAGTAACACATAGTAACCATAATATTATACTATGATGATCTATGATGTGTATATATAATATATATATATATGTAATATATACATACATGTGCAATAGACAATGCCTATATGTTTATGTCTATCTATTTATCCATCTATCTATCTACCTGTCTGTCATCAGTCTATATGTGCATATGTGTACCATTGTGTAACAAAACATGGGCAAAACTCATCGATGTCTGCAGAATCAACAGCCAAGCGCAGTGAATTTCACACAGTTGGGACACATTAGTAAGTGAGGTAATGTGGCAAATCAGACAATGACAACCTCCCCAACTTGGCGGTTTCATTGAAACCAAAACAACCACTATGTCTTTCAAAGGTGGCTCATACAGACGTTGGGTTGTTACGCAGACAACGACTGACGTGTGGATGCAAACGACACCACTGTACCTAGTTTGATCCACAGTAAACCCAACAGCTGGCCAGTTATGTTTACCAACTTGGCTAATCGTATAAAAAAAAACTCTTGCCAATAGATTCCTAAGGTTGAATCAGTTTTCACCAGTACAATTCCCTTATGTTGGTTTGGGGGAATGGTAAATATCTCTATTATAGCAGATTAATCATATATGAACCAGCAGAAACCTATCAAACATCACAATTTCTTGGTTGAAATCACTATTTCTTCTTGGCTATACAAGTCAAGTTAGCCTCCCCCAATTAATATAGACCCTGCCAAATAAGGGGTTGGAAGACTAGAACGCTCAAAATGGAAGACTAGAACCTGAAAAGTGATGAACAGTTCATCTATTTTCAGGTTCCAGTCTTCCATTTTGAGCGTTCTAGTCTTCCAACCCCTTATTTGGCAGGGTCTTAATATTAATTTGGTGGATGTCAATCCTGAGTTTATACTTGGGGCTGCATCCCAGGCATCGTTTTTGTGGCTAATAACATGTAATAACGTTGGGAAATACAGTTGATCTGGGCAATATATACAGGAATTTCATGGAATTCCCAATGGTTTCTAGGTTAGATCACCATTTTTCTTGCCAAAAACCTCACTTTTTCATACTTTTTCACCATTTTTGTCTCTGAAATCACCATTTTTGGGTTGATGAAGTCCCGCTGAACCTTCGACATCCCACTGAGGTGGGCCTGCTCTCCTTCCGCGCTGTCTTGCGAGACCGGCGTCACGCGGATGCACACAGCGCACAGCTGCAAGGGTAGGTGGTTATTTCAAACATATATCATATATATATATTATATCTATACATAGTCATATATCATCTATGTTTATCTAATATAGTATATACTGCAAATAACGATCTCTATGCAGTTATTTGTAGATATTTGTAGTATATATATATATATACATTAACACATATTTAGATAATATTGTAATTCCATATCATCATACTACATCATGCCCCACCTCTCTTGTTTTTTGTATAAGAGTCCTATACTTTTCTCTAGCTGCCCCCCAATTGGTAAGCCATATATGGCCAGAATTTCGGGCATCTTCAAGCCGTCAAGGCCGGCTGCCTGGTCACCATCTAAGGTACTCTCCGGTAAATTCACAAATCGATCGCACAAAACGCATGGGTTTTTCCTACGAAAATTGTTATCCGTATCCATGTCAATCTACAGGAGGGTAAATCACCTGCAAATGATTCGCAATGATATAAACAGGAGTTTTTCCAGGTAACCATGAAACCAATGTAGCCTGTATCACGAGAGATCCACAGTGAGCAGAAGATGAAATTGCACATTGCATTCTCTCTCTCTCTCTCAACCTGTTTAGGAGATGGATTGGCTTGGTGCTGTCCCTTACTTTTAAGGTGCATTTGCATGAATTGGAATTAAACTGGAATATTTAATATTTTCACACATATATGCAGATGTCTCAATGGATCCAGTGACCTTTTGTTCTTTATTTGTTTGATGTTTTATTTTTATTTCTTTGATTTTGTACGTGTATTTCTATATGATTATATGTATACCATGAAATGTCATCTACATAATGACATAATATAAATATATGTATGTGTACCTACATCTTTAATGATGACAACCCCATTCACACATATCAAATTGCTGCTGAAATCCCCATGTACCTTCACTAAATATCCATCATGGCGATAAATCAAATTACATGATAGGTTTGGTTGCACCCCCACCATAGATCCTTGTAAAATGTACATCTCAGACTTGTATGGCAGGGTGATTTCCAGGAACACCCTATGTCTACTGGTAAAAACACATGGTTTCCTGTAGATTTTCCTAGCCATTGGAATCAGCGGAATGTAAGCTGTATTATCAAACCTTTAGTATTGGGTCACCTGACTGGGGGAGTTGATGTCTGACATCAATACTCTACGGCATATTAGAAGTTGCTATGATAGTAATAACCATGTGTCTGTATTACAATAGTATTATAATATACACTTATGATCCTCCAATGATACACACACATGTATATATATATATATACATACCCAGCCAGCCTCCCAGGCGAGGCGGACGCAGCGCTGACCAACAAGCTCCACCGCGATGGTTTCTTTGGCCGGACCCACTCGATCTAATGGATCGGTGGGGGAAATCTATGGGCCACAAAAAAACAATCCTTCACTGGGCCGGGAAAAGAGAGGCTAAAATTATAAGATGCTTTTGCAAGTCGATTTTGGACCGTTTTTGAGCAAGTTTTTGACGATTTGTTGATGCGCTCGGGAAGCAAAAGCATCGTAAAATACAGTTAGGCATTGGCACAAAAACACCGTAAATACCGTGATCTTTGCTACCAGAGGCAGAACACATCGTAAATACAGTGGTTGTGGGCTTCCGAAGCGCAGAAAACATCGGTATTTACGGTGTTGTTTGCTCCGAGTGTTTCAAACATATGCGAAAACACAGCCTATTTGACGATTTTTAGGGGTCCACAAAAATGCGAAGATATATATAAGCTGTGTTGCAAGAACAACAACAAGAACAAGAGCAACAACAACAACAACAACAACAACAACAACAAGAACAAGAAGAACAAAAACAAGAACAAAAACAAGAACAAGAAGAACAAGAAGAAGAACAAACACAAAAATGCGACAAAAACATGTTTGAACCATGGTGTTTACATGTTTTTACATGTTTATACCACCCAGTTTTCTCGGAATTTCCTGAAACATGTCCCATACGGGATATAGACGGTTGGAGAGAGGTAAGCGAGTTGGAACTCGACGTCGAAATTGGTAGTATGGCCCATGACTCAGCTAGTTTCGATTGTACACATGTGGTGGTAGCTGCCTGTCTATGTATATATATATATATGCGTGTATATATATATATATACGCATAATTAATATACCAACATGATTCTATACATGCATCATACACACACATAACTGCATATGACTATACAGACATCAGAAAATCAAAAGCCATGTGCTGAGAAATGTTGGCTACGGAGGGGTGAAGCTGTCCAGGTTGGTGCCACTGTACGTGGTCATGGCACATTTCTTCGAGACAAACAACATCTTTACCTGCGCAATCCGTTTTCGTTATACTCGTTATACTGTGTGGGGTAGTCACGGGGTAGTCACATACCTCAGTTTAATAGACTTGGATGAAGAGGGGAAACAAACTCAAGAAAGCCGCAGAAACACCATGGGTGAAACGACCCAGGTAAAGGCGCCCAGGATTTTTGGAGCATCTACCATAAGGAGGACTGGTGGAAGCTGACGTTTCCTGAAGCAGCCTTGAAGTAGCCTTGGAACCTGAGGATGGGTAGAAACCCATAAATTTGCACATAATTGGTTTACATTACAGTAATTTATCGCCTTTTTCGAGGATGAACATGTACTGTAGCTACATCAGCTATTGTGGTGTGAACAGAAAGGGCACCATCCGTATCCATATCTAGACGGTTAATCCTTCGATATCAGCAGGTTTGGCGATCCAATATCTAGATGATTCACCCTCCATGTTGATTGATGTCCGAAAATTTCCGGACAAAAACTTGGGGAACCCACTAGTGTGGGTAAAACAAAAATCAAATCCATCCCCCAATTTCACCATTTTTATAGGTGGTAAGCATTCCCAAATGCTTGGTTTATGGCATTGTTTTACCCCCATTATCATCTTTTCTATTCATTGGTAATTCCCCTGGTTTCAACCGTCCCTATGGCAGGACAGCAAGCGGCTTTCCCCCAGTCCCGGTTTGCCAGCCCTTCCTGCAGCCATGGCCACGACGGCCACCATGGCCACGGGTCGAAGCAGCTTTGCGGGCACGGCCAGCACGACGTTGCTTGGACTGGGCCATGGAAATTCGATCGCATGGGTGTGGTTGATGGATGTTTATATATGGATGGTTGGATAAATGTTCCGAATATATCCGACTATGATGTATGTTTTTCTTCTAACACATATATTGCAAACAAATGCAAAATGCAAACGAAGAATCTTTGGAATACTGTATTGTGAGACAGAAAGATTAGAAAGTGGAAATCGATGATCGACAACAGGTTAAATGGGGCTGCTTCAAAATTACTGGACCCCCAAAATGGAGAGTCTGTGCATGAGTCATTGAGGATAATCAACCCATCCATGTAGTCAACTTCAACGGAGATAGGTGAAATTTCAGCAGCAACTCATCAGAAGCGAAGATATCGAAGCAGATCATTGGGAATTAACATGAATTAACTCAGCAATGGGAACATATCAGGCTATGTAAAGTTTATATGCCATCACAAATGGCCATAAAATACAGTTATTTTACATATCAGGTTATATAAACCCTCACAGTTCACAGGATGTTGATATTTTCGGTGAACATCGACAAGTTTTTCGTTGGATTGATCCAAGAGGCAGCTCAAGTTGCCCAAGCCATAAAAATGATGGTTTAAACTGGCTTTTCCCTATTAAGATGGCCATAAATGATCATAATTGGGGGTATACCATGGTATATGGTATACCACATTTTCAGACATATCCATATACTTCTAAGCATTTCCTATTTCGGGGCTTCGATTTGAAGCCGGGCCGGAGCATGACTCCAGGTTCACAGAAGGAGAGGTTTCTGCAAAATCAGAGGAGAACAAGGCAGCTGTGGTGCGGGGGAAACCAACTCTTCTCGGAAATTGTGGCAGTATTCAACTGAGCTATGAACAACATATTTACCTTGGTTGGTTGGTTTTTATGTGGATTTATACTACCTGATTTTTTGGAGGATTACTACCCATAGGGATAACTATTAACCAAGTAGTATAATGAGATGCGCTTCCTGGTCACTTGCAATTCTAGGCCCCTTTGGAGGTTGGTCATATAATACATGCCTGCCATGACATAGGTGGCTTAGGATTTGTCATTCCAATTGGATGGTAGATGGGATATGACGCCTCATGGTGGGTGGCTTGTGGTCGCTGATGAGTGGGTACTACCCCGATTGTAGATGGATTCTTCCACAGTCTGTGTCTGTATGTTCAGACAGGCTGTAACATTTTACGTATAATATAATTGATTCAGAGGTGGCACACAGACACCATGTTTCACCGGTCAAAATTTAACATGGAACCCCAACACGGTGATTTTTCCGAGTTGCGACTCATATTCGGGTGTTTGTGAATTCTGTGAATTTTCATGGAGGTACATATAACATTCATAGCAACTCCCCACACGGCAGCTGAAAAATCCCCAAATCTTAGTTGGTCAAGACGTTCGTATGCAAGAACCAGCGCTTGATCCGAGAAAACCTGTGGACGGATTTTGTTCTTTGTCACCTACTTGGAGGATAAGCCATACTATAAGCTTCGTAGTATATAAGTGAACTGTGTCAAAAGCCCTAGCGTTGCTTGATGATGAAACCATCATTTATAGAGGTTTTGAACGTCCAGCGCACGCGGATTTAAATTATTTGTTCGTCAATGATGAATGATGTTTGGTTGATGTTGTTTTTAATTCGTTGGGTTCTACACTACAGAATGCATGGTGGATGATCATAATCCATTGTGCGAGAACTGCCTGATATTTCTCTGCGATATCTTCCATTCTCAGGAATATGCCAGAAAAAAGTAAGAAATCGATTTATGATCATTTATTTAAGAGATAATCTTCCATTGATTCTCAGCTTAAATTTAACGAATTCTATAATCGGATGAGTCCTCGGAGTTTGGACTTATCACCTATATAATCTATAGCCCATGATACCCTCTGGTAATTTAACATAGCTATTGAACATGGCCATTTATAGGTGATTTACCTATCAACAATGATGCTTTCCGGAGCTATGTTAGTTTACCAGAGGGATCCAGAGGGTATATAAATTATAATATATTATTGCATATATATATATATACATTATATATATATAGAATATATGAATATATATATATATTTGTATACATATGTGACGTGTATATAACCCATGTATAACTGCGGTACTATATGGTCATTACAGACTCACAATACCTGGGATGCACCGGGAGGGGAGGTTAACTGGATTTAGCCAACAAAGAAATGGTGATTTCAAGCGAAACATCACAGACATGTCGGCTGGTTGATTTTCTCAGATTCACCTGCGAGAATGGTGATATAATATATTAATATATTATACAGACATATATATATATATATCCATGACATAAACATCACTAATTCCATATGATTACCATTCAAGTACCATTCCCCTAAACTAAGACAAGGGAATTCTATGCAGCGCCAGGAGCCAGCTCAGCGCCACGCAGCGCTGAAGTCCAAAAGCTCCCAGGTGGCCCGCAAGGCGCAAGCGGCGCCCGCGACCGGGGCGTTGCGTTGGCGTTTTGAAAAATGGGGATCTACGGCATAAAATGGGAAACAAATGGTGGATTTCATGGGGATTCAATTTGGTTTAATATGATAAAACAATATAAAACATATCTATGACATGGGTTTTCGATGGTCTTTTCTGAATTTCATTTTTTAGGGTTTGAAGATTTAATGTTTTTTTGTGCAGAGTTTAATGATGGGGATTTAATTTATGGGGGATTAACATACACTTATGGTGATACTTTATTTACTTGGATATAATTCATGGAATATAACGAGTGGATAGGACCAAACGGGTTGCTCCAGCACTTTCCAAACTGATGTGTTTTTCTGTGACGTGTTTTTTCCAACCATTCAAGCGAGATATAATGAGGAGATAAGCAACAATTACTGTAATTGGATTTGGGTTATAACTAACATTAAATGGAATATTATGCAATCATATGCAATCATTATGGGGTATTTATCCAACAGTTAGGTACAATCATGGTGTTATATAAATGGGGATATGATATAACCATCAAACATAGGGATTTGTTTTTTTACATGATATATCCATCAATAAGGAGAGAATTCCAGATAACATTACAGTATGTTGCGACCTCACGTCGTGATGTCACTAGAATAAATTTGAAAGTACGCGGTAGCCCCCAATAGCCCAACTGTTCAGGTGAGTGAATTAGTATGTTTTATCCGGATAAATGGTGATTTGACTAGAAAAAACAAGGAATGAAGTAGCACAATTCGGAATTTCAAGCAGCAAGGTGATGTGTAGCCCAAATACATTGGAGAACTCATGATGATGACGATGTTTTCTTACACACACACACCATATTTAACCAGCAACCATTTTCACCAGCAAACATGTTCAGTTTGGAGGTCATTAAACAAAGACATATCGGACATATCCGTTGGTTGTATCCAGTGATATCTCCGGACCATTGAACATCTTGGTATCATGTGGGAGTGGGTCAAAATCTATTACAGTAATTAAGATCAGTTTTAGTGGGATGAACATCCATTTTGAAAATATTTTTGGTGCCACCTATTAAAATTGTATCCATTAAGCCAGCTATTTTTTTTGCTTCACTGGGTGCCAGGGTCACCCGCCATGGGCAGGTGCTGCAGCACCGCTGCGAGATCCAGCAGAAACGGACGAAACCCGTCCCCAAGGCCTCGAAGATGCGGAGCATCCCAGAGATCCAGGTGCCGGTGGGATTTTTGGTGGTGAAACTATTGACATCTAACTATGGTCACAGAAAAAAAAACTCGGATTTATATGGATTTATATGGATTTATGAATATATGATGTTATATGATTTATATATTTAGCTATATTATATGAATATAGATGTTATTTGCTTGAATACACTTTATTCTATAGATATTGTTTGCGGTTATAGTAATCCTATACAGGTTGTTTTCTTTTTTTAGCTGTTTGTTTCCTTTAGAAAAAATATAAATAATCTGACTGCACTTCGGTATATAATCATTTCAATATATTAGTATTATGTATATTTATATATACATTATAGATATATAGTCAAAGGTAGTCTCATATGACGAACATGTGGTTTTAGCCGTGATTTTATGTATATAGGTTTTTCATGTTGAGATTGAATGGTGTTGGCAAATATTTCTTTCAAGCGGGATACAGATTTTGTCCCTTTGAAAAAGTGATGATGTCTAGCTCGGCCAAATTTGTGATTTTTGAATATGGACAAAATCTAGCTACGAGGTGGTATTTGGGACCCATTTTGTTCAGGTTTTGCTGTGAAAGTTGGGATATAATATATACGTATATATATATAAACTTACGTTTCGTGTACATACGACTGTATCTTGAATTCAATTATTTTCCTATTTATACCTGCTGTGAATATATTTTAATTTTATAGAGTAATATTATTGTAATATTTATATCTATCTCCGTGTACCAATTTTGTGGGTGATTTGAGCTTCTCTATTATCGTCGGATTGCGCAACACAGCGACGCAGGACCACTTCATGGATTCGCGACCCACTACTCGACAGGCGTTTTTTCCGGGGCCGGGTCAATAAGTTGCAAGTCATTATATGTTACTATGACCATTAAATATATTGTTATTAGACTCATTTTTTTACTTGGGTTTACAATGATTATATAATTAACTATAGTTTTACTCGCTGGGGTTATCCCATTTCCAAGTGGATTTGAATACGCCAACGTTGTTTCTTTTACAACTTTGCGAAGTGGACTATCCCAGGCCTTTTCCAGAGAGTGAGGAGAATCCCGCTTCAAATCACCAACAAGTCATGAATCTGGATTAATTATACTGACCTCACTGCGACGTCACTGCAATGATGGTTATATAGTAATTAGTAAGGGGAATGATCCCAATATAGCCGCATTTCAACTTATTTCAGGTTAGTGAATTACTGTTTGCCCAGATGAAAGTAGCACTTGATTATTACATCCTCGCCATCGATGGTCGACTCAAACGGTGTTTGTCAAACCACGGCGTGAAGCCATGTGAAGCCCCGGGATGTATCCTTCGGCTCCAGTGGTTGCTGGTTAGTGACAGAATTCGAGTCAAAATCTGGGTGTGAGATTTCCCTCAAATTGCTATTTTGATCATGAGCTCGTTGCATCCTGCTGGGTGAGGAATTCTCATTGCTGGTGAGGGACGGGGGTAATCCAGCAATAAGGGACCTAGTGAGATCTTGGATGACTCTCCATCCCGCTATTTCTGGTTTTTGTCACCATAGTCATTACATGTTGCAACCATTTCTATGTGGGATAAACCCAAATTATAAAATGTTATAAATAGGTTATTAATGGTTATTAACTCAGATCCAAGTAGATTTGGAGGATCCATTTTGAGACCCCCCAGCCCATGGTGGGCAATCCCCGTTTCAGGGTCATCCTGCTTAGCCACTAACTGAGCTTGTCCCATCACCACGTCAGGAGCAGGGCTACTTTGACCTGGGTCGCTTTCTTGAGCCCAGCCAGCGGCGGCGGCTGGCAGGTGCCAAGTGATTTCTCGCGTGATTTCGAACGCGTGAAAACTGGGGGAAGTAGCCTCCGGTGTCATCAAATATGGGGCTGGAAAATCCCCTCATTTAGTTCGATGATTCTTCCAGCTATAGACCTGCATTCGTAGGGGATTTCCCAGCTAGCCATGATTACTGGAGAGTAGCATGCAGCAATGGAAATCTAGAGGAATGAACCAACAGACATGGTGATTTGATCGCGAGTTCATGCGAATTCTATACAAATTATAACCAAGAAGTGGTGAGTGAACCAACAAAACTGGGATTCAACACATCAAAGTGGTGCGTCAACCATCAACAATCATCAACAGTTGGAATTTTACCAACCATGCCAAACATGGAATATCAGTCGGACATAATATGAAATGTCTGATGAGTGGATTGACGTATTCACTGCACGTCAGCACGTCCGTCTCTATGTAAGGACGCCTGGGATAGAGAGCCCCGATGCATAGCAAGGCCCAAGAACCTCAATCGTTTCGCCAAAGTTTGTATGGAGCTCGTAGATTTTTGGACCCAGATGGTGTCTGAAAATGGCGATTAACACCCCAGTTATTGCCATCATTGTGACTATCCTGGTTTTAGACCAACACTTATTGATGAATAAAATGCGGATTCACGCCGCACACATGTGGAATGGAGTCAAGAACTAGAATGATTATAGTGCTTGCTGTATATGTCTAACTTTACTCCCAAAACTAGAACAACTATTTCTCCAAAGATACAAAAGTAAATTCCGTTTGTTTTTGATGATAACGTTTTGTTGCTTGTCTAATCGTCTTCTTGGGAACCCCCATAAAGGTGTACTTTCCTGTCCAGCCTGGTAATGGACAATTTTCAGGCTCACATGCTCATTTTGCGAGGGCTCGTCGCCTTTTTGGTGAACCAGAGTTTTTGGGGATACTTGCACTTGATTGACTTTATCCATCTTAATCCAACATGTTTTTTGGAAAGCAGTGTTTTTGGAGTTGTTTTTGGTTTCAACAGCAAGAATAACGCTTTGGGAACACAGTTTTGGCCATTTCAACAAACCCATCCTTTGTTTTGGATGTTATCGGGAAACCCTGGACAGTTTTAAACTTTTTCAGTTTTGACATACACTTCGGGAAAACTCATGAGACTTATGTTCAGCATTTTCTGTGGGAACACCACGACTAGGGGACAAAACCATCATTTTTGCCGTTGGTCGGCAGGGAGCCTGCGCCCCGCCAGCCGCTCTTTGCCGGCACTGCCTCGCCTAAGCAGGTGGGGGCCGATTTCACCGACCACTGGGGATTCAGTAGCACAATTTAACAGTTATGATCGAATCAACAATTGTTGGGATTCGATTACACTATAGATAGTGATGGAAAAAATACTTCAAGAAGAAGTGAATTCAAGAACAAAGGCCAGTAGAACACCAACACGGGAAGTTGCTGCAAACAGCCAAAAATGGTAAGGAAATGACCAGTCGAACCATTTGGATTCGACCAGTCGAAAACATGGCAACTCATGCGACGAGTAAGTCAAACACAGAGCAATAAATGATGCATGCCGTTCGGGCCCCTTAGCAGAGCTCGTGCCACTATAGAAACTCTTTAGCACTATTCAACTGAGAATCTAAGGGACGTGTTGTTTAATTTTGGCTAACTATTTATTCAAAGTGCCTGTATGATTCTAGGATTGGCACTACAGCATTTATGACTGGATGTTGGAATCTGTTGGAACCAGTGTTACTTGCCAGCTACTTGCCAGCAGGAGAATCATCCAGGTAAACCAATCTACAACTTCTCCATTGGACACTCCAGGGGATGGCCAAACAAATCACCATCCCCAGATTGGGCGGCTTATACTAGAGGCCATCACCAGAAATTGGTGGATGTTATGAACATCCAAGCGTGGCCAATGGATTTCCTGCGGATTTCTGCAAGACAGATCAATCCATTGACATGAGCAGGTTGCCATACCACTTCCGAAACGTGACAATCCTCCAAGATCCGGCACAACATACAGGAAACCTCAGCAAGACATGGTTTCTGATGGTTTCTGGGATGAAATTTCCATGTTAAGCTTCATTGATCGGGGGAAGCAAGCCATGACCAAAAATCCCAGCTATCTTCCAGGTCCACGCAAGGCGGAAATAGCTCCATGTGTCTGGGCGAGCAAAATGAGGCAGGAATATCCGGAGGATTTGAGAAAGATAAACGATTTATGATATATATAACTATTTTTTTATATCATAGGTTCATATATATATATATGTATATGTATGTATATATATATATGTATATGTACACATTGTTCATATATTATTATAAACCATATGTGGCATCTATCTTGGGCTTTGTCCGATTTTCAGACGAAACCATAGTTGAGGGTTGGTCTCAACAAAAATATGGTACCGTTTGATACCCCAATTTATTTATGGCCAGTTTAGAGGAGCGGAGCTGCTCGGAGAAGCTATCAGCGAGCTGGACGTCCGTTTCAATGGATTGGAGGAGTTAAAAACCCCGAAAACTGATCGTTTGCTAGCAAAATGGGACACCACCACTACTAGTAAACAATGGAGTCTTGTTACTCCTGCTTGGATATACATCCCAGTTACTGTACTATGTGTGTGTGTGGTACTGACCATGTTATGGGGGATTTTCCAGCCATGTCTTATGTCTGGTCTGATTACCAGAGTTACAATATATATATATATATATATTGTGTATATATTGTGTATATATTGTGTATATATTGTGTATATATATATATATCACAGTATATCCCTTAATTTTCCTACTGTTGCTGTTTAGTTTAAATCCTCATTGTGCACCTCACCATTCCCCAAAAAAACATCATCTATCTCCTATGGTTCATATTACATATATCCCATTGAATAAATATATACATATAATATAATATAATATAACATAATATAACATAATATAATATAATATATTCTAATATAATATAATATAATAATATAATATAATAATATAATATAATATAATAAAATATAAAATAAAATAATATAACATATATATATATATATTTGTGAACACACATATAGATGAATTATCATCCAGATAATATCCCCATATTATGTACATATATATATATGAGAAAACTCCGAATCAGAGACCAGACCTCCGAATCAGTCACCAAGAATCAGCGACCACGAATCAGCGACCACATAATCAGAATCAGCGACCACATTTCACAGATCAGCGACCACATAGGCGAATCAGCGACCATGAATCAACGACCACGACTCAACGACTACATGCTAGCCATTAAGTTTGGGCGCTGTTTCTTTTTCTAATGTCCCCATCATACCAGTAGTACCGCGCGCGGCGGTGGCGGAAGTTTTAGAATAGGAAAACTATAGGAGAGGCTGGTTGTTGTGAATCATGGATGGCAGAGGGAATTCACTGATTGACCGAAAGGTGGTTGGATTTGTGTTTGTTGGAGTGGTTGTAATGGTTGCAGTGATCACCTCACCCACAACTGCTGGATTGAGTGTGGTGTAGTTCAGCTGTAGTTGCAACGTAGTGGAGTTGTAGTTGCGGTGTAGTGTAGTTAGCGTAGTGTATTTGCAGTTAAATTGTGGCGGTGTAATGGAGCTGGTGTAATGTAATGTACGGAGGTGCTATGTAGTGTAGTCTAGTGTAGTGTAGTGTAAAGTAGCGTAGTTGTAGTTGTGGTTGTAGTTGTAGGTGCAGTGTAGCATAGTGCAGTTGAGGGTAGTGTAATGTAGTGTAATGTAGTGTAGAGCAATGTAGTGTAGTGGAGTGTAATGTGGTGGAGTGTAGTGTAGTGGGGTGGACTGGAGTGGAGTGGAATGGAGTGGAGTGTTGTGTAGTGTGGTGTAGTGTAGTGAAGTGTAGTGTAGTGTGGTGGAGGGTTGTGTAGTGTAGTATATTGTAGTGTAGTGTACTGTAGTGTAATGTAATGCAATGTAGTGTAGTGTTGTGGGGTGTAGTGTAGTGTAGTGGAGTGGAGTGTTGTGTAGTGTAGTATACGGTAGTGTAGTGTAATGTAGTGTAGTGGAGTGAAGTGTAGTGTGTAGTGTAGTATACGGTAGTGTAGTGTAATGTAGTGTAGTGGAGTGAAGTGTAGTGTAGTCGGGTGTTGTGTAGTGTAGTATACAGTAGTGTAGTGGGGTGTTGTGTAGTGTAGTATACAGTAGTGTAGCGTAATGTAGTGTAATGCAGTGCGGTGTCGTGTAGTGGGGTGTAGTGTAGTGTAATGTATAGTGTAATCTATCTAGTGTAGTGGAGTGTTGTGTAGTGTAGTCTACTGTAGTGTGGTGTATTGTAGTTGTAGTTGTAGTTGAAACTGCTACAAGACCTTCACCTTTTGCTCACTTTTGACAAGGTGCAAAATCCCTTGCGCCTGCCACGCAAAACCACATCTCAACCGTCAAAAGTGGTCTGGCGCTTTGTGCATTCTGAATTGGAAATGTGCTTCGCGCCACAACAGCGTGCAACTTTTTTCGACATCTGCACGTCAAAAAGTGGTTCGAGCATGTGGTGTTTTTAACATTTTGACTTGGAAAACCACAACAGCGTGCAATTTTTCGACGTCTCAACTTTCAGAAGTGGTCTGGGACCGTCAGTTTTTGACACTTTTGACTTGGAGATGTGCTTCGCGCCACACCGGCATGCACTTTTTCGACATCTCAAGTTCCAAAATGTGCTCCGACGTTGGTGTGTTTTGTGCATGACTTGGAAATGTGCTTCGTTGCGCCGTCTCAACTACCAAAAGTGGTCCGAACATGGTGTCTTATGTCTTTTTTTACTTGGAAATGTGCTTCGCGCCACAACGGCGTACACTTTTTCGACATCGCGACTTCTAGAACTGCTCCGAAGCTGAGGTGCTTTGCGCATTTTGACTTGGAAATGTGCTTCGCGCTACAACGGCGTGCAACTTTTCGTTTCTCATCTGGCCAGATGGCTCCGCATCCCGCCGCTTTGAGGTTACTTTTCGACCCTCTGGAGCCACAAATCATTGGAAAAACACAGTGAATCGCGACTTTCCTATTTTTTCGCGCACCTGCATCTTCTTCCTTCTCACTCTTTCTCCTCTCTGATCTTCTCTCTTCTTTTCTTCTCCTCTCTGACTCTTCCCGCCTCTGCTATTCCATCTGTCCATATTGTCGGACGTTTGATTTCTAAACTTCCTTCGATAAATACACCCCTTCAAACAGTGTGGGGCAACAGATAAAGCTAAACAAACAGGTAAATTGTTTTGCATCATTATGCATCATTGAGAAAAAAAAGCAACAGGTTGGCGTATTTTATTTCTTGGGGGTACACGAATCTGTCAGGGTTTTGTCATATTTTATCAAGTGGCGGGGGATATGAACATGGATGTCTGCAGGAGACCTGGATAGTTCCTGACAGTTGGTAGGCTTGAAATTTTCTCAAACCACCCGCGGGCATCCGACCTTGCGCATATACGACCTAGTCTTTGAATCCATGTGATTTTGCAATATCATCTCAATATCACCGAATGCTGCCGCCAAACGATTTTCAGATGCAGACACAAGATCATGCACTCATGAGCCACGAGCAATCTATAAGAAAGGTGCGATTTGCACCATAGCAAATCTAGCAGTGACTAGCCATGATGTTTCTATCTGAGAGAACAGATTTCTAGTAGTCGCATTACAGTAAGTCTCTGCTCAACCGTACTTTTTGCTGGTTGTACATTTCCGCAATTAAATTCCGACTCCCAGTCGCAGCTGGTTCGTATAGCAAGACTGGATGGCCGGAGTTTAACATGTTCGACCCAGATTAACCCTGAACAAATAACCAGTGTGCTGTTTGCAGATCCCTTCACTCCCATTGTTCGAAGAGTTTCGCGCGACATACGCCACGGCTGCATGCCGATCGCCTTCCGTTGCATTGCCCTGGGCTTGTTGGTACCGGTGCTGGGCACACGGACGGACTCTTGGCGTATCAGTATCCGTGTATCGCAGTTTCAGACATGGATAATGTAAAACTATAGTGCAAAACCCACCTGTGTACTCCTGAGTAGCAAATTGCATTCCTTTTGGTTCGTAACTGATTCTCACATCTTTTCCTCTGGTGTCACCAAATATGGCTAGGAAAATGCAACTTGGTTACCGGCAAAGGAATTTCCAATAATTTCCCATGAAACCGCCATTGAGAGTTGATTTTCGATTGCCATGTTTGTTTATATCACAATCTATGACTCTGTATGAATGTCAATATCAATATCAACCAATCAACATCCTCTCTATCAACGTAATTTCGAAAGCTTGCTTCTGCTAGCTGAAGTCCCCCTTGCTTTAGCAAGGT